TGACAAGCCAATGCTGAGGACCTGCTCTCAGCTCACTGTGACTCTCCCTCCTTTTCCATGGGTGACATAAGGCTGTGATTCAAATTCTGAGCACAAGATGATTTCTATGCAGAACAACTTAGAAAGAAGTTCTGTGCTGACTTATGATTATCTGTGTGACTAAAGTCTTCCTTTCTCTGCCAAGGTAATAAGCCCTTCCCCTAATCTTTTCTGCAGCAGTGTAAATATTAGATGTAATACAGCAGATCTGGTGGCAGTTTTAGCAGAAAGGTGCTGGTGTCATATCATGTAGGATTGTGCACATAAATGGCACCTTTTGAAAAACCCACGGATTTGCAAGGTTTAAAAAAACCGTGTAGCACTAGTGACACCTGCAGGAACATGCTGGTTTGAACAGCGACGGGGAAAAAAAATGCCAAAATGAGGCTTCTGTGAGAAGCTATTGTAAGGAAAGCCAGCAGATATACCCACAGTGCCTGCCTTCCAGGCATATTTAAGCCTACCCGGGCATATTTAAGATAAAAATTTTGGGCAGAGTTGTTTAGCAAGGAGAGAAAGTAAATTAACAAGTGTACACACAAGCGAAGATCGGAGCACTGTGCCAACATTCAAAGGCAAGAGAGTTTGATCCAGCTTGAAGTATAGCACCCAGATCACAAAAAAAAAAAAAAAAAAAAAAAAAAAAAAAAAGGCTAGAGCGGGAAAGTCTTCAAGAGAACAATACCTAGTGATTACCAGTGATATACAAAATAGTCTGCTTTTTCCACTTCCCTGATTGCACAGTAAAAAATTTAATTTCACCTTAATCTTCTCTCATTACTTGATGCTGTTCCACTTTTGCCACACAAAAATCCAGCCACTCCACTTTATGCCAGTTACCCTATTTACACTAGGAAAGCTGTTTCTAATGCACTTCATTATCACTGCTAGTAAAACATTGTGTTTAAAATAAATGCATGCAAGTTAAAATCAAGACCAAAGGAAAAAAAAAATTATTTCTTTGCTCTGGATTAATTTTTTTGTGTTTCTTGGCTTAAAACATCTTTTATGTTTTGTGAAAAATCCATGCCAATATGACTGGGCAACTGTTGAGCAAGGCACAGAGAAATATGTGCCAGAGCAGATCTATCAACACTACAACAGTATGGAGGAACAGGAACTACCTGTTGCAAAATGGGAAACCTGGTAATACAGGAAACACAAGAAATGTGGTGAGTCTGCAAGGAAAAGGAATGCAACATTGAATGATACAAGTGAAGAGAAGATTGATATAAAGTATTAGGATAGCACTGGTTAAAAAAAAAAAAAAAAAAAAGTAAAGAGTGGGATCTGGAATTTTTTGAGGGGAAGAAGGCAAGAGATCCTTTGCAGGCAGAACTGACAGAACAGAGAACCTCATGGAGAGTCCTTGATCAGATGGGTTTTCACCCACTGGTGTGATTTCTTTCTGAGAGATGAGTGATATCACACACTATGCTGCTGTGGATGGCTTCAGTTCCCCAGGCATGACTGGGGCAGAACATGACAAAACATGAGGTGACAAGCTGGGTCCAAGGCCATCTCAGCAACCTCAAGATGCGTCCAAGGCCAATCTCAGTTAATGCCTCAAAAAAATGCAGAAGACAGTGCTCAGAGCAGCCTAAAAGCACTCATGTATCTCAGGAGAGGACCACTCCAGTTTCATGATGCTCTTGGGCCCAAGGCTGATGTAAGGAGTGCAGGTCCAGGGGAGGTCAAGTCAAGGCAATTAAATTCTATTGGGTGCCCACAAGGCCCTCACACAAATAGAGTAAGACTTAATTGCTCTTGACTTAGCTTTCTCAGCAACAGGTTCTTTTCATGAGTTCTTTTTGTTAGAGCCCAAATAAGACTTCTTTCATGAAGGACTAAGGTGTTGTTCACTAATGAAACTCAAAAGCCACCTCTCCAAGGTCCAGACCTTGCTAAAAAGCATGGCACTATATTTTACCCAACTTTAAATTTTTGTCTTAGGTGCACATCTGGATTTTGGGTTGTTTTATGGTTCTACCAGTCCAAGGGAGAAGTGAAATCTGCATCTGACAGTGGTATCAGATTTTCCCTCTAACCATCAGCCTTACTGATGCCTTTCATCAGCATGGATCCCAAGCCATGGCTTGCAGGACCTGCACTGACCATGGGCTCAGAGCAGGCGCAGGAAGAATCTCATGCCATGAGCATGAAAGCATCACTTAGGCCAGTAATGCAGCTTATTCGTGCAGCTCCCACAAGGACTCACTGTCCACAAGAGTCTTCTTGGTCTAAACCCTTCCCCTGGCAATTCCAAGTGTTTCCACAGCCTGGATGAAAGGTAGGGAGTACAATGTAGAGAGATCTTGTGAGACCCCACCTGGAGTTCAGTATCCAGCTCTGGGGTCCCTGAAATAAGAAGCATATTGACCTGTGGAAGCAGGTCCAGAGGAGGGATACAAACATAATCACAGAACTGGAATGCCTTTCCTATGAAGACAGGCTGAGTGAGTTGGGGTTGTTCAGCCTGGAGAAGGTTGTTCAGCTCCAGAGAGACCTTGAAACAGCCTTCCAGTACCCAAAGGGGGCTACGAGAGAGCTGGAGATGGACTTTTTATAAGGGCATGTGGTGATAGGACAAGAGGCAATGGCTTTAAACTGAAAGAGGGCAGGTTTAGATTAAATATTAGGAATAAATTCAAGAGTGGTGAGGCACTGACATGGGTTGTCCAGAGAAGTTGTGGATGCCCCATCCCCATCCCTGGAAGTGTTCAAGGCCAGGCTGGATGGGGCTTTGAGCAACCTTCTCTAGTGGAAGGTGTCCCTGCCTAGTACAGATGATCTTAAAGGTCCCTTCCAATCCAAACCATAGCATCAATGCTATGATTCTGTGCCTTTCTCTGCTGGAAATAATATCTACATCAGGAGAATAAAGAGACTAATCCAGCCCCTTACCTAAACAAAGTCCATTTTTCTCTCCCACCAGCTTCTTTCTGACTACTCTATCCTACTAACAGTAGCTCAGGAAAAGTGAGGGAGATAAGACCAACTAGATTCACAATTTATTTCCCACTACAGTTGCAAAAGCTGACAAAAGTAAGCCAGAGGTACTACTGAAATATCTGTCCATGCCTCTAAAACCAAGTTTGCACCTAGAAGCACAGTGCTGTTAGAGTGTTTATTCTGACAACTTCTAACATGTCAACTCAGCCCAAATGGAGGCAGAACCAGGTGTTTCACTGCCCCTCAGAGCACCTAAGCCTGTCCTCCATATCTTGTATCAACTAACCTCAACTTGCCTTTCCTTGGCTTTGCACAGGACACTGCTGCAGAATTCATAAATAAAATAAAATATAAATAAATAAAATATAAATAAATACGTTATAAATAAATCTCTGTTGACGCCAGCACTCAGCTCTTGTGGCCTGTACCAAAGAGCTGTGGCAGAGACCAGGGTGGTATGAGAAGAAAGCAAAAGATGTGAGCAAGGAAGAGCAAGAACAGAAAAAAATGTAACATGTCAGAGATATAAGATTATGTGTTCTTATCTACATATGGAAATAGCTAAATTTCAAAAATATCTTTTTGATAAGCTAACCAGAATGAAATCTTTAACTCAGCATTGCTGACACGGTGGAAAAGTATGTCTTATAAACTTTAAGGAGGATTTGCTCTAAAAGCTGACACAGAAGGATCTGTTTGCACGTGTTCAACACCACTGATTTTACAAGTTGCATTTTAAAAGAATGACAAAACTTTGCAGGTGAAAGACTGGTACATGCTGTGCTTGAAGAAAACAGGTGGGTGTGGTGGCTCTTGTGTTTTGTGTTCTGACATGCTTTGGAGATACACAAATGCTGACTTCTAGCAGTAATTACTAGCCCAACTCACTGGCCAAAATCTTATAAAAAATGAAAAAAACATTTCTTCAAAGTAGTTTGTATTGAATATTAGACAATATTGTCAGAGACAATACCTCTTACGTTGCTGAATACATGTGTAATTTGTATAAATAGAAGAGTATAAATTATAATATAATCATATAATATAGCAAAACATATAACTATGATTAAATGGTAGTTCAGCCTAGAAGCACATTCAGAAGATTGCTAAGTAAAATATACTAACATACTATATGAATATACACCAAAAAAAAAAAACAAAAACCAGAAGATAAAATGGACACCAAATACCTCTCACATTCCTTTAGTTTTCATTCTTCCATTTATTTCCTAGCCTTATACTTAATAACTGTGTGATGAAAAGAAATTATTCACATTTTAAAGTTACACCTGTTTATTTAGTAAGGAAGTTAATACCTGGCAATGGCAGAGCCATGAAAGTAAATAGTCCTTAACAGTATGGAAAGTGTGTACTGAAAGAATATCACCTCCAAGCTCTCTCAGTTTTCACCACACATACTACAGGCAGCCATCCAGGCCAGCCATTTTCCTGGCTCATGCAGAAAAACAAACAGAGCCTTACACAGTCTGTAAGAAATATACCATTTATCACAGCCTCCAGCTGAGGGCTTGTAACAGAAACAGAACTGGATTTTCCCCCACAAGGGGTAAGAACAAATACTTCTCTTTCTATGATCTCTCAAAACTACATCTGAAGAAGTCTGGTTTCTTGCAGAATAGTTGGACATCCACATAAATGCTTGTCACACCTGAATTCTCTACTGCTGCATCTGAGCAAATATAGCGAGCGATGCCCCTCTGCTGAGAACACATACATTCAAGTTTTTGAAAGTAGTTCCTATTTGCTTCTGATGGCCAAAACCTTTAGTGAAAGGAAGTAATCCTGCTATGTGCCTGGAAACACAAATCATAACTTCACGGGATGTTTCGTACAGACAAAAATCAAGTTCTGAATGCAAATTGTTCAAAAGAGGAAGAACAGAGAAGATAGCAACTTTAGAATACTATTGACCCAATGGGTAATATACAATTTTATTGTATTTTTAACTAATGTCACCTGTGAACACAAATATAAGAGGTACTTCAATTGAAGACAACATTTTCAGCAATCAGAATTAAGATAAAGTGGACAGACTACTAGGAAAAGTCAGACAGAGGCAATAGCCTTTAAATGACCAATTTAAATAGCTTGAAAAAGTACACAAACCTTGGTCATGCACATTTGTCTGCAGGAGGACATTTCACAGAAGGCTTATTTAGATTTTTGCAACTAGTTTAATCTCCTGGAAAAGACTAAATCTAATTTCAAACACTACCTACTTACATCCCTCATCCAGCTCCTCTTGAACCTAGTTTTGCTTCTTCCTTCTAAAAAGAACCTGATCTCAGTGTTGCAAACTTTTTGTGACATAATATTTTCAGAAAAGCCATTCGAAATTTAACATGACAGAGAGGGTAAAGAAATGGGTTCAAAGAGGAATTGATCCACAAAAGCCAAAAGGTTGCTTCATACAGGAAGTTATGGACACAAGTTCCCTGGCAGGGCCCACGGATAATCATTAATAAAGAGTATGGGGCCCAGCAAATGGCAAACACACAGACAATTATGGCAAGAGACTTCGCTATTTTCTTGTCCCGTTGCAGTTTTGATCTGGTCTTTGCACAGAAGGAAACAGAAAAGTCATTTTCTGGGGTTACAGAATTGTCTCTGGATGGAGATGAGCAGTCAGTTCCCAAAGACTCTTTTTTTGGTCTCATGGAAGAAGAAACACTGTCCTCTGCTTCTGACGAAGGAGATGACGCCCCTGGCCTCGGCAAGCCACAAAACCTCCAGGACAGGCTGCTGCTCCTCGGAGGCTCACAGTCCTGCACACTGCCACGCCGCTGGCGCCGCTGGATGTTGTGGAAGATGTGCACGTTGAAGTAGGTCACCAAGAGCAGCGGCACAAAGAACTCCAGGGTGGATGCACACAGCAGGAAGTACCAGTTGTTGAAGAACTCGGCGTAGCACTGATCCACCGCTACCACGCTCTGGCCGGCCACTTGCTCCCAAAACAGGATGGCTGGGCAGTACAGGAGGAATGCTAAGACCCAGATGGCCACCATCTTGATGGCAGGGTTGGATGTTTTTCCCTGCTGAGCTCTGTAAGATACCTGTGAGGGAAAAAATAAATTACAAGTTCAGACTTGTAGAGACCCATTTTGGGACTAGGAGAAGCAGCTGGAAATGATCTCAAGAGGTACTTGGTAATACAGAGATGTGGCTGTGCTGATCAGCTGAAGCTCACCCAAGCATGTTTATTTCATTGATGCTGGCAGTGCATAGGGTTGACATTAACAAATTAATGTCACTGTACCAGGGTCCAGGTCCAGGGCATGAAACACGATCATCCATCAATACATAATAATTTGGTGTGCCTTGTTTGAGATACCTATGGTCTGAACTGCCAGAGGAATTAGCACTTTGTAGCTGTTGGGACCTTCACTCCCACTCACTGGAAACTGCACTGCTTTTTACAGCATTTTACAAACAAATAACTGTAGGCATCATGGTGCTCAACAGAAAAGGTGGCACATAGATTTAACCTATAAGAAAATTTCTTACTAGACAATTCATGAGGATGAAGGAATAGACACCACACCTGCACCACAGCTGATGAAACTAAAAAAATCACCCATTTTCTTCCTTCTACATCCACTCCAGGGCCAGTATGTATTTTCCACTATATGTTGCAGAACAGATAGATACAATGTGGCTCACATCTCTTTCACACGATGAATGTGTAATTCTGCAAGCTTAGACATCCAATTGATAACAAAAGTTTGAGTTAATGTCACTAGAACTATCATACAAATGTTCATAGGTCTTAATTGCATTTGTATAGGTGCTCTGAATTTTGCAATTTGTAAATGCTGAGTCTTTGGCTTTCCAGTGTAAGGTTTCTTACACACCAAAATTTTTGGTGTTTGGTTTCCAAGATTTTTTCCTTAAATAGAATAAAATAATAAAATTTATTAAGAAGGCAGTTATAGGATGTTAAATTACTTACGACAAATAAGACTGAAATTCTATTGCTTGAAGTTATGTTGACAATCTCATACACACAAAAGAGCTGTGACATTCCCTGCCACCTGAGCTAACAGTGTGGCTGGTGAGAAATGCTGGCCTCCACCCCAGCATGGCCCAAGACACAGAGCTCACACCAGGTGTGTAGAATTCTCTGCAGCAAGCAGAAACAGAATGTGTCTGAAGTTTGGGGTTCTGCTCCAGACACAATGAAGAGTTTATTGATGCATATCTACAGGCAACGATTGCAGTCTGCCCTTTGTTCCACTTTCTGCCTGTTTGCTCTTCCTCCCAGTCTTATCCAGAATAATTTTTGACCACATGTCTGGCCTAGACACCCTCCCCAGTGTCCTTGATTTTACTGCCCTAGCTCCACTGTAATTTACTTTCATGCCTGATTTTAGGTCCGAACTCAAATCCAGTTTACTCTGAATTTCCTCTTTCCCTGCCCCTTTTTTACCAATCTGCTGCCTTACCCTTTTTACCCCCTAAACTGCTTTTCCTCAGGCAGTAACGTGACAGCAGCTTGAGCAGAAATTGTGAGGAAACTCCTGGTTGACTAGCTCTGCAGTGAAGCATGCCCAGTGTAGAATATTCATCCCATCTGGCTGAAAAATATCTAGTAATCACCACATGCCTAGTATATTTTTGAGGAGTATTATCTTCGTTAAATTTGATCTTATACTCATCATGGCAAAGGTTGGTGAATATAACCATCCAAGGAAAAAAATTAGAGACGCTCTAAACAGGTTACTTACAGCTTTAGTAACTGACAGGAAACGGTCGTAGCTGATAAGAACAATGTTAAACACTGAAGCTGTGCAGAGGAGATAGTCCATGACCAGCCAGAGCTTGCAGATTCCTCTTCCCAAGTGCCATTTCCCCATCAGGCTGTAAGGGATGTAGAGGGGCATGCAGAACACACCTGCAGAAAGCAACCAGAAAGACACCATGAGGTTCATAGGGATTGCAAACTCCTGGAAGCAGAGAGAGACACACTGTTTTGGCATTTGGGTAAAAAAAAAAAAAACCAACAAATCTATTAAGGTGAATATGTAATTTATATACATAAGTTCCTAAATTCTCATGAAATCTGATGGTGACTTTCTATGTCTTAGATGTTAGTGTGATTTATGTATGCTTATTGTTGAGAATAAGCCGAAAGCAATTCAGCAAAGGATTTACTGAAGAGGAAAATACAAGTCTAACCAACTTAGACTCTCTAAAGGTATAAAATTAGTGCTGCAGCATATATGCACTGTGGTTGCAGTCTGATAAGTAACCTCATCATTTTATTTCCTCTATTCTTTCATCTGTATTAGAATTTTCCCTCAAACACATCTGCAGATGTTGCCAATGGCAGTTATTCCTGCAAAATTGGTTAGCATTTGTAAACTGAAGACAATATATTGGACAGTCTGTGTGGTGCTCTACCAGAGATAGAGCAGACACAGCAGAAGTATGAAACTCTCATTTTTAAGGAGCGTTTTAATTTCATGCTTCTTCTCCACCTGAGAATAACTCTAGAACTATTTTGGTTTGTTAAATTTGTGTTTTGTCCAACAGACCTTCCACTGAAGTACTTTATTAAGAAAATCATGTTTGTGTTCTATTTTTAAGCAAGCAACTTCTTTATTTTAACACTAATATTCTTTCAAAAGTGTGCTGCTATAGCTGATTTTACATTCCTGAAAACACCAATCTACCAGAGACAAAGAGAAAATTATATGCTGCATCAAGATCCATTTAAAACTCTCCAGATGATTCCTTTCTTGACAAGTCTGTCACGATCTTAGAAGTTACTAAACATATCCAGTGTGATGTGGTCCACTGACTACAAAACTTTGGGCAAAGAGCTGCCAGACTGCTGCCAACCAGGAAATGCTCAGTGCTTTCCATACTGATGGCTTATTTTAACATATTCCTTAAATACAAGCAGCATCACTTTGGTGATAAATACTCATTTTTCATGGTTGCTGATAACAGCTACTGTTCTCATGAACTTCAATGGGATCAATGTTTGGCACCATGTCAAAAAGTAATGACTGCTTTGAGCTATAAAAATAGCTCAAAATAAATATATATATATAAATAAATATAGAGGCAAACCCCAGGTTTTAAGCATTGATATTTGAAGCTATTCTTGCTTTTACTAATTGGTGGACACAAAAGACATGAGTCACATCCCTGTAAATATTCCAGACTTTTAATAAACTAAAAAAAAATAAAACCAACCCCACAGCAAATTCAGAAAATAAAGTATTTCCTGACCAATATCAGAGACAAAATCTTAGATTTACAGTCTGTATAGGCCAATCTAGTACTGATGGCAATCATTTCCTCTTGGCTGATTTAAGAATGCATGAGGCACCAGCCACAAAGTACGGATGCAGAAGGTAGATATTTAATTCTCTTGACTAAACTATGAGATATGAGGAGAAACAGACTTTTGCAGAAGACCTGAGCAATGAAATAGCAGCTCCAGCAAATTGTCTGCCTTAGCAGGAAAGCAAAGGCTTCACCATATGCATCATTTTCTGCCCCATGGGGCAAGTCCCAGAATAAGGCAACATGTGTTATAAATGGTACAAATGAAGGAAAACCTTAAAGGCTAAACTAATACACTTCACTACCCAGCACTGACAAAGGAACAGCATTGGGGGGATGGTATTGTCAGAAGTACAGTAGGTCTCTGGCCACGATTTCCTTTCTCACGGTTCAGTAAATGCTGGTGTCTGTGACCATCCTGAAGAGAAAGCCTTTGTGTGCAGAAGTACCTCCTTGCCAGCCTCAAGTCAAGACATTTGCTGGCACATCTGCCACAGGACTGTGGTTTTGTCAGGCTTTGCCTGGCTTCAGCCACGGAGGAGTGCTGCAAAAGGCATTCACTCCACCATCAAACTCACTTGGCATCACCAGCCAGGACTGGATCCATGGCAGCTCCAGCAACAAACTCTCCTGGACTTTTGCAGTGTTGCTGTGGGAAGAGGAGACCAATTAGGAATATAGATGAGGGATGCCAGCAGGATGTCAAACTGGTATCAAACAATGCATCAGATCAATAGCCTGAGTTAAGCTGAAACCAGTAAAAAGTCCTGGCAATAAAGTGTCTCACTGTAGTGTAATACATTAATAAACCATTAGTACTATGTACTCTACTATGTACTCTACTATCTACTATGTACTCTATGGAGAGAGTAATTCATGTACCTGGATGTATCACACATAGCTGTCAAATATAAGCTGTTCTGAAGAGTGTGATGAACACCTTATATTTGGAGAGGCAAGGGTAAATGACAAACTGCAGCAAACAACCTCTTCAAGAAGTATTCGCATATAATAGTCACTCCTTTTTTTTTTGAATCAACATTAAAAGTATTTATATGAAAAAGAATGCATTTTTCATTATAATACATTTTGAGACATATTGGGCTATTAAAACACTTCATGCAGCTTCCACCATTCCACATCCTTCCTCCAGACACAGCTGGGAAATAGTTCTCAGAAGAAAACACATGGACAATAAACACCAATGCTTCTCCTCAGAGTCCTACAACACAATTAGCACATGGCTCCACAGCTCTCACTTACCCACTGCAAAGTCAGAAACAGCAAGATTCAGAAAGAAATAGTTACTCCGATGCCTGAGGTTTCTGTCCATAACAAAAGCAAGGATCACCAGCATGTTTCCAAGGATGGTCAGCAGACACAGCAACACCATGAGGAAAGCCAGCAGCACCAACACACCCAGGGAGAACTCGGAGCTCGGCGACTGCGTGGGCCAAGTCTCGTTACACGTCGCAGCCGCGTGCGGAATTTCGGCGGTGCTGTTGAGCATGGTGGGTATCCAGGTGAGGTCAGTCTGGGAAGGAAGTTGTGTCTGGCAAAGTTATCCAAAAGGTTGAGACAAGTCTATTAACAGGCTGGGCTGAATACTGAAACATAACAAGAAAAGATTTGCAATATAAAAAAATTTTAACACAAGGCTTCAAGACGTGGGCTCTCTGGCGTTTCTTGATCTGAATGCCAATAGGTATTGGACAATAGGTATTGGCCTTAAAAATGACACCTCATAATCAGTGTCCTTCCTGGACATGGATCTTTATCTACTAATGTCAAAAAAGCTTGTCTGAAGATAATTCTTTTCACAGTCAAGCAGTTTACATATTAGCAATGTGTGAGTGGTTTTTCACATCAAATTGTGCTGAAGCTAAAACCATATCTCATTTTCACCTCCACAGTGGTGAACAGGATTAAAATTATTACAATTCTATTTCCCTTACAGTAAAATGTAGACACTTTGCACTTGCTGCTATATCACTTTTTAAATTTTACAGTTAATAACAGAGAGATATTTCTTAGTGTTGCTGGTTACAGAGCATTTGTAATACAGTTCCATGCAGCAGAAGCATCACCAATACCTCTTCACCTCACCCGAACAAGAAATTCTGGGCAGAACAAACTAAATACTTGCACTTCAGAGGTCTTTATGGTGTGGGCCATCTAATCCTGCACCTGACAAGGAATCCTAGATAAGCTTTTACTCCATTAATTACCAAGCCTTTAGCCCTTTTCAGGTGTGAGAAAAGATATCCCTTCCTCAGCACAACTCCATTTATTTTGATGGGAATGCACAGAATTTGGTAGGCCATGGCTGTGGCTGACACTCCATGGTGCTGCTGGTCACTCTGCAGAACCATGGCACACCAAGTGACCATCATTTCCAACTGCAGCCATAATGCCAGGTACTTGGGAAGATGTAGGGCAAGAAACAAGGAAAGAGAGGATGGGCAAGATGTGGGGAGGAAAGATGCAGTGCTCTGCTACCATATTGAGGAAGAAAGGGAATTATGTTGTAAAGAGTCATTAAAGCAAAAGGTGTAAGGATGACAGAAACAGAAGAGACCTCAGGAATGGCAAAATGTGGCAATGAGACACGGCTGCTTTAGATGTGTGTGCACAGCTGCAGCCTGGGAAGCATAGAGGAAGTACTGGAGCTTCCTGTGCAGTCACCAAGCCACACTTGCCATGGGTGACATCAGGGTTGAGAGCACATTGCAGAGCTCAGGGTGAGGGAGGTGATTAAGCCTTCTTTAAGCAATTCAAGGAAGCTTCTGGACCACAGAACCTGCTTCTTATGTAGGACTTCAGCATTCATGGCATCTGCTGGAAGTGCAACACATCAGGTCCCAGCAGTGAACAAAGTTCCTGGAGACTGTCAGGGGGAACTTTCAGATACAAGTCCTGCCTGGGCTAATGGGGGTGATGCACAGCTGAATCACCTGCTCAGTGTTAAAGAGGAGCTGTGTGGGGACACGCTATCAGTGCCACTCTGATGTAGTGATGATGAGGCAGTGGAACTCAAGATCCTAAAGGGGATGAGGAAGGAGAGTAGCAGTGGAGACCATGGGCTTCAGGTGAGCAGACTTCTGTTTAGGAAAGTGGTAGTGGGAATCCCATCGGAGGCAAATCCAAAAGAAAAAGACCTCAAGGAAGCTGCAGGCCTCTAAGAACACCAACCTCCATGCACAAGAATAGTCTGTCCCTGCTCTCAAGAAAAGAAGCAGATGTATCATGACAGTGGCTAACCCTGGAGACCACAATGCAAAAAGACAACATGAAGGTGCTTGAAGGAGGGACAGAACACAAAAGAAATATTTAGAAATGTTGCCTGGCAACATAAGAATAATGTTAGGAAAACAAAAGCTCACCTATAGCTGATGTTTGTAAAGGACATCAAGGACAACACAAAGAACTTCAGCCACCCTATTAACAGCAAAATGGTAAAAAATAAAATATGGGTAGTTTACTGGAGGGGACCAATAATCCAGTCACATCAGGTGCAGATAAGCTGAGGTAACCAGTGCTTTCTCAGATTCATTCCTTACTAACTAGGTCTCCCTTTCCTCCATGCTTAGTGAATGAGTTCAAGGATGAGAACTGTCAAGAGCAGGTGAGAATAAAGCAGGATTACTTGAGGGGACTTGACCCATAAAACTCCATGGAACCCACTGTGCTATCAAGAGAGCCAGCACCACCTTTGCAAGGCCACTTTCTATCCTCTTAGAATGGTCGTGGAGACCATCTCCAAAGGGAGATTCCCAACAACTGAAGAAAGGCAAATGTTGCAACGATCTTCAAATGCTGCCACAAGGAAAAAAGGCCAGATTGTCTTTAGTCCATGGGAAAATAATGGAGTGAGGCCCCTTGGAAGGTGTTTCTGAGGACGTGGGGGAGGACAAGGTGACTGGGAACAGTCAGCATGGACTTACCAAGTGTAAATCATGCCTGAGCAACTTGGTTGTCTTCTTTGATAAAATTACTTGATTAGTGGACAAGGGGAATGTAGTAATTTGCTTTTATAATTAGGGAATAAATCAAATGTTGGAGTTTTAATCATAATTCTGTGTAGCACTCAGGGGGAAATCTATGTGGTATTTCCTTTGGAAAATAAAATACATGGACGTTAGGAGAATCATTAGGGTTCAATATTTGTTTCAGAAATAAACAAAATAAAGATAACACAATTTCTTCCAACATGTATTTTTATTTGTTGAGTGGTTTGGTTTTTTTTTAAATCTGAGAGGGTCAGATTAGAAAAACTGGTGTGATTTGAGTTGAAGCCCACAAAGTCATATAGCTACTGTCACCATGCATTTTGAAGGCCTACTGAACATCTGCAAAGACAGAAGAAAATTCAAGGACATGAAATAGTGAAATGGATGAGTGACTGGTTAGAGAGACCTGGGTTAGAAAAGCCTTTGTCAAAAAACATCCATTTGAGTCAGGGCATAAGAACAAATGCTTAATAAGTCTCTTATCATAACCCTGAAAAACATCTGATTTGTGATTTACTAGGGAGAATATTTATGATGCCACCCTGACCAAGACAGCTTGAAAGCTGTGGGCACAGCAACCCAGTGCTTGACTTACCCTGGGAGCACTAAGCAAAATTTTCAACAACAAATCCATCTAATACACAGGCGTGGTGTGAGAAAACAGTTTGAACAGTGTGTGGGTAAAACAGACTCTAATAAAAATTATCTCTAGTAGCTTCACCATGCTATGTTGTTTCAAGTTTGCTGCAGATTGCACTGCCTGGCAAGTTCCCTGACTAACTAGTTTTCCAGCACTGCAAAATGTGGACTCAGTTTATCTAGTCAATAATTTTGTGGGTTATTTTTCCAAAATGAACAATGCTTACATTCTTTAAGCACAAAATGCAAACTGAATTTTTATACTGAAAGTATAGGGATAGAAAAGCAGACAAATACATTTCTATCTTGGGCCTATCTTCAGTTTCTCTATTTAACAGATGTTTAGTACACCAGCTATTCTATAAATGTTTTAACTCTGTGTGTGCGTTTAGATTTTTTAAGCTTCACAGAAAAACAAACCCTACAAAACCTATCCAGCACCACAACTCATGACAGTAAAAACAGCTGTGCTGAATCAATGACCTCCTCCTGCATCTCTTAGCAATCAGGCTCACAATCCATAACAGTATCCACGTGAGGCAAGGAAGCATAGCGAGAATGAATGGTGAAAGATAATCTTCCAGCAGTGTGAAAACTGGCAAGAGAAGTCTTCAGTTCCAGACCTCTGAACAGAAAGACATTCTAGCTCTTCAAAGCCATCAACTTTTGTGCTGTAATTAGGATGCTTCCATGCATCTGAATTGTGTTTGCAAAGCAGTACTCTGTTATGGCAACACTTCTACAGCCAATTTCAAATTAGGTTAAAAACTATTTAAATTGACTACTGCGCTTCATTGTTCTGTGCATCAGATTTCTCTTTCCATATTTCATACATTATTATATTTATAAACAAAGAGGAGTAAAATTACACAAAAGGAGAGAAAAAAATGTAGCCAGTGACTCTCACTTACCCATCCATGAAAACCTTCTGGGTGAGTTGCAACACTCAACACACGGTAAGAAAGTCTGGCACATGGAATGGGGTGTAATCAAACTCCACTGCTTCCTCCAAGACATCTACTCACTCCTTTCAGCACTGAACATTCAACTGATTTGTTTGTTAAGAGCTGCTTAAGACATCTCTGTATCAGCTTCCAGACCTCTGTAAACTTCATTCTCAAGGAGTGAATATGGCCCTTGCTCCCTAATTGAAAAAATCGAGTTTGATATTTGTTCTGGGGCAGAGAAAATCCATATAATGTAACAGTAACAGGACACAAAGTACTGCTCTAGTATAAAAATCACTCTGTCAGATCAAATTTGTTCCAGACATTTTGATAGAATATCTTTGCACTTGCAAAGCTTTACACCAGAGAGGCTATTGTCTATTCTCGCACAGCCAGCCAAAATCATAAATCCAGCATGAACTCAGCATTGCTTGCTCTGCTAATTCAACAGGAATGTGATCACGTGCCCAAGCTTGGCCTATCTTTTAGGCAATCACATAGTGCACAGATCTGGCACTAAATATCATTTAAGCATGACCAAAGAGGCAGCCACTGTCAGGTGAAAAAACACTATGGGTGAAAAGACTAACAACCATCTGTGTCTGACACTTTTGATAACCAATCTCAAAATTCTCATAGCATGGAAAATTTCATTCTCTGAAAATCATTCAGAATTACTAACTTACATGTGCTTTGTCCTGCAATGCCAGGTATGAGCTATATTAAAACTTGAAAAGGACAGATATGGCAGGTTAGGCAGCCCATTCACTTGCATATTGCTCACTGTGGGGATGATAACAAGGAGAGGGCTCGCTCTTGTCTTCATAATAGTTTATGAAATGGAAATATACTGCTTCTCTGAGGATTTTTACAATCTTTGAAAAATGTAGCAGTATTGCTTCTTCACTGACAGTTTTAGATTCATAAATATTACATAAATTTTAATT